CAACTAACGTGGACGACGGCATAACCTTGTTAGTGACGACTAAGATATACTTGAGACGAGCAGGCGGATCAAGATGTCCTCGTAGGTTTTATTGCAGTTCATTTTTATTGGTTCCTTGCCAAGCTACAGCATAAAATTATTGTGAAAGGCACCCCAGACTATACAGTTTTCCCACTGAAACTGCTACAACTGAAGTGGATTGGCTTTCTCCGCATGGATACACCTGCGAGGAAAGAGGTGTAAAACAGACATCACATTAGAAACAGAGTCTATCTTCCAATTTCTCCTGCATTTCCGAGTGGGTAACTACGGCTTTGGGCACGCGATTTACCCGAATGCGCCACCTGGGAGCCACAACACCGACCCGCTCCTAGTTGGGAGACGTTCAGTAAAAGAGAGCCCTTTGCGAAAAAGATCAGTACAAGCCAATTTACTGGAATTTTTCGTCGCATCCCCAAATTCCTTCATATGAGCTTATCGGTAGAAAATTAACGAATATTATAGTATTACACTGGTACTATCACTATGACTGCACCACAAATCTAGCGGGATGTTCGTTGCGAAGAATGGTAATCCGTCAACATCCAAGAAGATCTGCAGAAATAGGCACAAGTTCGAACTTTTGCAAAAACAGTCTGAATAAATTGCTACCCATGTCTGTCACAGCACAGAGGCTACAAAAATTCGATATAACAAGATCGTTTTAAATAAACATGAAAAATGAAAGTTTTCATCGAACAATATAAAGCCATAAACTTGACTAGAGTGAGAAGGAGATCACTGGAGTACACCACAACAAGAGAAATGGTCCTATCACAGAGTAATTGATAGTTCATGGTGCATATTTTTGAAGTCTAAGAGTGACCATCCTAAAGACGTGGTCAGTGCTGACTATATGAGCTGTTACAAGAAGAAATAGTACGCCTCCGATCGCCAAATGTGCAGCCATATGTGACAGCCCCGGTGGAAAAGGAGCACAGCTACACTGGACGAAAAGCACTGGCTTTTTCCGAACTACTCGGAATCTATTTTGAGAAAGGTAAGCAAGGGGAGCAAAACTTGATTTGACCAGTGAGCCATATTTACACCCTTCCTCAGACATCAATGAAAAAGCGAAATTCTCACGTC